CCTGTGTTGTTTTTTGAGTTTTAGCTCATGCCAGATATTATGTGTTTCATTATCCTTAATTAATTGAACATTTCCACAAAATTCATACTGTTTTTTTAAATGCCCTTTACCAAATCTTCCTACATGGTTCTGTTCAAGATCATTATCCATTGAGATTGGGACGGGTCATTTTAGGCGGAAATTGAGATTTGGGGCCCTGTCAAGAACAGGCTAACAACACAATCTGCATTAAATCCCGATGCCAATGCAGTAATGACTGAGCTTGTGTCTTCGCTCTTAGAGGCTAAGAGGAATTGCGGGTGGCGTGACGGTCATGCATGAGATGCAGACCACAGGAATCCAAATACGTATCAGTGTATATTTGCGGTAGGGCTTTTGCCGTGAAATACTTTCGAGCTCGGCAGCTCCCTTATTTACGGTCAACTACCTTTTTAAAGGCGGTCTTTTTCTACCGGAGCCCCAGCAGCATATCCTTCACAGTGTAATATGTCACAGTGTAATATGTCAATGCATCACTGAGCTTGTGTCTTCGCTCTTAGAGGCTAAGAGGAATTAAAAGATGGCATGGGAGTGCCTAGTTGGTATGCTGTGAGATTGTACAATTAGGGCCGTCGGTTGTGGTGGCCCGAGTGGTTAAGAGCGATGGACTAGAAATCATTGGGATCTTCGCGCAGGTTCAAATCCTGCGACAACGGTTCCTTTTGCTTGTTCCTCTGGGAACCCATTCTAAATGCGAGAGGCAAGCCATTTCAAGGGCATGCAGATGTTTTTATTCTGGTTGTGGTTTGAGACTGCAAGAAAGGTGAGATACGTTCTCGTACAGGTCTTCTATGCTGTTTTACTGTGCTTCATGCTGCTGTGGGCATAGTGAATATTTGACAGCACTGTCCTTTAGTCAGCTTGAAGACATCGCCTTTAATCATGGCATCTCCATACAGAGTCGGGATGGCTGAGCGCGGTCTAAGGCTCTGCGTTCAGGTCAGTCTCCCTGGAGCGTTGGTTCGAATCCCACTTCTGACATTCATTTAGCATCATCCTAGCACTGTCAATGCCAGCAATACGGTGTGTTTTCTATATTGCTCACATTTACACTTTCTGCTTTGTAATTTTGACCGGAGAATTAGAGTCTGAGATATAGACATTCTTTTCAAAGTAAAAAAAAAAAAAAAACACCTGTGTTGTTTTTTGAGTTTTAGCTCATGCCAGATATTATGTGTTTCATTATCCTTAATTAATTGAACATTTCCACAAAATTCATACTGTTTTTAAATGCCCTTTACCAAATCTTCCTACATGGTTCTGTTCAAGATCATTATCCATTGAGATTGGGACCAGGTCATTTTAGGCGAAGTGAGATTTGGGGCCTATCAGAACAGGCTAACACACAATCTGCATTAAATCCCGATGCCAATGCAGTAATGACTGAGCTTGTGTCTTCGCTCTTAGAGGCTAAGAGGAATTACCGGGTGACGTGGGTCAGCATGCATAAGGATGCAGATACAGGAATCCAAATACGTATCAGTGTATATTTGCGGTAGGGCTTTACCGTGGAAATACTTTCGACTCGGCAGCTCATATTTACGGTCAACTACACCTTTTTAAAGCCGGTCTTTTTCTACTTAAGACTGGCAGCATATCCTTCACAGTGTAATATGTCACAGTGTAATATGTCAATGCATGACTGAGCTTGTGTCTTCGCTCTTAGAGGCTAAGAGGAATTACAAAGATGGCATGGGAGTGCCTAGTTGGTATGCTGGCGAGATTCGTTATATTAGTGCCGTCGGTTGTCGTGGCCGAGTGGTTAAGGCGATGGACTAGAAATCCATTGGGATCTTCCCGCGCAGGTTCAAATCCTGCCGACAACGGTTCCTTTTTGCTTGTTCCTCTGGGAACCCATTCTAAATGCCGAGAGGCAAGCCATTTCAAGGGCATGCAGATGTTTTATTCTGGTTGTGGTTTGAGACTGCAAGAAAGGTGAGATACGTTCTCGTACAGGTCTTCTATGCTGTTTTACTGTGCTTCATGCTGCTGTGGGCATAGTGAATATTTGACAGCACTGTCCTTTAGTCAGCTTGAAAGACATTGCCTTTAATCATGGCATCTCCATACGGAGTCGGGATGGCCGAGCGGTCTAAGGCTCTGCGTTCAGGTCACAGTCTCCCTGGAGCGTTGGTTCGAATCCCACTTCTGACATTCATTTAGCATCATCCTAGCACTGTCAATGTGAGCAATACGGTGTGTTTTTCTATATTGCTCACATTTTACACTTTCTGCTTTAATTTTGACCGGAGAATTAGAGTCTGAGATAGACATTTTCAAAGTAAAAAAACAAAAAAAAAACACCTGTGTTGTTTTTTGAGTTTTAGCTCATGCCAGATATTATGTGTTTCATTATCCTTAATTAATTGAACATTTCCACAAAATTCATACTGTTTTTTTAAATGCCCTTTGCCAAATCTTCCTACATGGTTCTGTTCAAGATCATTATCCATTGAGATTGGGGCCAGGTCATTTTAGGCGGAAATGAGATTTGGGGCCCTGTCAAGAACAGGCTAACAACACAATCTGCATTAAATCCCGATGCCAATGCAGTAATGACTGAGCTTGTGTCTTCGCTCTTAGAGGCTAAGAGGAATTACCGGGTGACGTGACGGTCAGCATGCATAAGGATGCAGATACAGGAATCCAAATACGTATCAGTGTATATTTGCGGTAGGGCTTTACCGTAGAAATACTTTCGACTCGGCAGCTCATATTTACGGTCAACTACACCTTTTTAAAGCCGGTCTTTTTCTACTTAAGACTGGCAGCATATCCTTCACAGTGTAATATGTCACAGTGTAATATGTCAATGCATCACTGAGCTTGTGTCTTCGCTCTTAGAGGCTAAGAGGAATTACAAAGATGGCATGGGAGTGCCTAGTTGGTATGCTGGCGAGATTCGTAGAATTAGGGCCGTCGGTTGTCGTGGCCGAGTGGTTAAGGCGATGGACTAGAAATCCATTGGGATCTTCCGCGCAGGTTCAAATCCTGCCGACAACGGTTCCTTTTTGCTTGTTCCTCTGGGAACCCATTCTAAATGCCGAGAGGCAAGCCATTTCAAGGGCATGCAGATGTTTTTATTCTGGTTGTGGTTTGAGACTGCAAGAAAGGTGAGATACGTTCTCGTACAGGTCTTCTATGCTGTTTTACTGTGCTTCATGCTGCTGTGGGCATAGTGAATATTTGACAGCACTGTCCTTTAGTCAGCTTGAAGACATCGCCTTTAATCATGGCATCTCCATACAGAGTCGGGATGGCCGAGCGGTCTAAGGCTCTGCGTTCAGGTCGCAGTCTCCCTGGAGGCATTGGTTCCGAATCCCACTTCTGACATTCATTTAGCATCATCCTAGCACTGTCAATGTGAGCAATACGGTGTGTTTTTCTATATTGCTCACATTTACACTTTCTGCTTTGTAATTTTGACCGGAGAATTAGAGTCTGAGATAGACATTTTCAAAGTAAAAAAAACAAAAAACACCTGTGTTGTTTTTTGAGTTTTAGCTCATGCCAGATATTATGTGTTTCATTATCCTTAATTAATTGAACATTTCCACAAAATTCATACTGTTTTTAAATGCCCTTTACCAAATCTTCCTACATGGTTCTGTTCAAGATCATTATCCATTGAGATTGGGACGGGTCATTTTAGGCGGAAATTGAGATTTGGGGCCCTGTCAAGAACAGGCTAACAACACAATCTGCATTAAATCCCGATGCCAATGCAGTAATGACTGAGCTTGTGTCTTCGCTCTTAGAGGCTAAGAGGAATTACCGGGTGACGTGACGGTCAGCATGCATAAGGATGCAGATACAGGAATCCAAATACGTATCAGTGTATATTTGCGGTAGGGCTTTTACCGTGAAATACTTTCGACTCGGCAGCTCATATTTACGGTCAACTACACCTTTTAAAGCCGGTCTTTTTCTACTTAAGACTGGCAGCATATCCCTTCACAGTGTAATATGTCACAGTGTAATATGTCAATGCATCACTGAGCTTGTGTCTTCGCTCTTAGAGGCTAAGAGGAATTACAAAGATGGCATGGGAGTGCCTAGTTGGTATGCTGGCGAGATTCGTAGAATTAGGGCCGTCGGTTGTCGTGGCCGAGTGGTTAAGGCGATGGACTAGAAATCCATTTGGGATCTTCCCGCGCAGGTTCAAATCCTGCCGACAACGGTTCCTTTTTGCTTGTTCCTCTGGGAACCCATTCTAAATGCCGAGAGGCAAGCCATTTCAAGGGCATGCAGATGTTTTTATTCTGGTTGTGGTTTGAGACTGCAAGAAAGGTGAGATCGTTCTCGTACAGGTCTTCTATGCTGTTTTACTGTGCTTCATGCTGCTGTGGGCATAGTGAATATTTGACAGCACTGTCCTTTAGTCAGCTTGAAGACATCGCCTTTAATCATGGCATCTCCATGCGGAGTCGGGATGGCCGAGCGGTCTAAGGCTCTGCGTTCAGGTCGCAGTCTCCCTGGAGGCGTTGGTTCGAATCCCACTTCTGACATTCATTTAGCATCATCCTAGCACTGTCAATGTGAGCAATACGGTGTGTTTTCTATATTGCTCACATTTACACTTTCTGCTTTGTAATTTTGACCGGAGAATTAGAGTCTGAGATAGACATTTTCAAAGTAAAAAAAAAAAACAAAAAAACACCTGTGTTGTTTTTTGAGTTTTAGCTCATGCCAGATATTATGTGTTTCATTATCCTTAATTAATTGAACATTTCCACAAAATTCATACTGTTTTTTTAAATGCCCTTTACCAAATCTTCCTACATGGTTCTGTTCAAGATCATTATCCATTGAGATTGGGACGGGTCATTTTAGGCGGAAATTGAGATTTGGGGCCCTGTCAGAACAGGCTAACAACACAATCTGCATTAAATCCCGATGCCAATGCAGTAATGACTGAGCTTGTGTCTTCGCTCTTAGAGGCTAAGAGGAATTACCGGGTGACGTGACGGTCAGCATGCATAAGGATGCAGATACAGGAATCCAAATACGTATCAGTGTATATTTGCGGTAGGGCTTTTACCGTGAAATACTTTCGACTCGGCAGCTCATATTTACGGTCAACTACACCTTTTTTAAAGCCGGTCTTTTTTTCTACTTAAGACTGGCAGCATATCCTTCACAGTGTAATATGTCACAGTGTAATATGTCAATGCATCACTGAGCTTGTGTCTTCGCTCTTAGAGGCTAAGAGGAATTACAAAGATGGCATGGGAGTGCCTAGTTGGTATGCTGGCGAGATTCGTAGAATTAGGGCCGTCGGTTGTCGTGGCCGAGTGGTTAAGGCGATGGACTAGAAATCCATTGGGATCTTCCCGCAGGTTCAAATCCTGCCGACAACGGTTCCTTTTGCTTGTTCCTCTGGGAACCCATTCTAAATGCCGAGAGGCAAGCCATTTCAAGGGCATGCAGATGTTTTTATTCTGGTTGTGGTTTGAGACTGCAAGAAAGGTGAGATACGTTCTCGTACAGGTCTTCTATGCTGTTTTACTGTGCTTCATGCTGCTGTGGGCATAGTGAATATTTGACAGCACTGTCCTTTAGTCAGCTTGAAGACATCGCTTTTAATCATGGCATCTCCATACGGAGTCGGGATGGCTGAGCGGTCTAAGGCTCTGCGTTCAGGTCGCAGTCTCCTGGAGGCGTTGTTGAATCCCACTTCTGACATTCATTTAGCATCATCCTAGCACTGTCAATGTGAGCAATACGGTGTGTTTTTCTATATTGCTCACATTTACACTTTCTGCTTTGTAATTTTGACCGGAGAATTAGAGTCTGAGATAGACATTTTCAAAGTAAAAAAACAAAAAACACCTGTGTTGTTTTTTTTTAGTTTTAGCTCATGCCAGATATTATGTGTTTCATTATCCTTAATTAATTGAAAATTTCCACAAAATTCATACTGTTTTTTTAAATGCCCTTTACCAAATCTTCCTACATGGTTCTGTTCAAGATCATTATCCATTGAGATTGGGACGGGTCATTTTAGGCGGAAATTGAGATTTGGGGCCCTGTCAAGAACAGGCTAACAACACAATCTGCATTAAATCCCGATGCCAATGCAGTAATGACTGAGCTTGTGTCTTCGCTCTTAGAGGCTAAGAGGAATTACCGGGTGACGTGACGGTCAGCATGCATAAGGATGCAGATACAGGAATCCAAATACGTATCAGTGTATATTTGCGGTAGGGCTTTTTTACCGTGAAATACTTTCGACTCGGCAGCTCATATTTACGGTCAACTACACCTTTTTAAAGCCGGTCTTTTTCTACTTAAGACTGGCAGCATATCCTTCACAGTGTAATATGTCACAGTGTAATATGTCAATGCATCACTGAGCTTGTGTCTTCGCTCTTAGAGGCTAAGAGGAATTACAAAGATGGCATGGGAGTGCCTAGTTGGTATGCTGGCGAGATTCGTATATTAGGGCCGTCGGTTGTCGTGGCCGAGTGGTTAAGGCGATGGACTAGAAATCCATTGGGATCTTCCGCGCAGGTTCAAATCCTGCCGACAACGGTTCCTTTTTGCTTGTTCCTCTGGGAACCCATTCTAAATGCCGAGAGGCAAGCCATTTCAAGGGCATGCAGATGTTTTTATTCTGGTTGTGGTTTGAGACTGCAAGAAAGGTGAGATACGTTCTCGTACAGGTATTCTATGCTGTTTTACTGTGCTTCATGCTGCTGTGGGCATAGTGAATATTTGACAGCACTGTCCTTTAGTCAGCTTGAAGACATCACCTTTAATCATGGCATCTCCATACGGAGTCGGGATGGCCCGAGCGGTCTAAGGCTCTGCGTTCAGGTCGCAGTCTCCCTGGAGCGTTGGTTCGATCCCACTTCTGACATTCATTTAGCATCATCCTAGCACTGTCAATGTGAGCAATACGGTGTGTTTTCTATATTGCTCACATTTGCACTTTCTGCTTTGTAATTTTGACCGGAGAATTAGAGTCTGAGATAGACATTTTCAAGGTAAAAAAAACAAAAAAACACCTGTGTTGTTTTTGAGTTTTAGCTCATGCCAGATATTATGTGTTTCATTATCTCAATTAATTGAACATTTCCACAAAATTCATACTGTTTTTTAAATGCCCTTTACCAAATCTTCCTACATGGTTCTGTTCAAGATCATTATCC